TCCGGTACGATTGAGTTTCCCACGACAAAAATTCCTCCACGCGTTCATATGTCGTGATCTCATTAAAAACGGACGCAAGTCATATTCCAAGAAGAAACATAAACTTTAATCCAAGTGAACACAATCATTGGCGAAACGGAATACCAGGATGTTTTATTTCATATCTCAAATGAGACTAACCGGACTGTAAATCCGGGTGTTGTATTCAGTGCTTTCTTTTTTTTTGTGACGGTACGCACCGGTACGGCGTACCGGCACCTTTTTCAATGTGGGGGGAAAAAATTATGACTTTTCTTGTATTTTAACGTTTATTATTAATTTATTATATTATTAATTTGTTAAAATTGAATTATTTTAAAATTGCATCTTTGCAGTTGTGAGTTAGCTTGAATCGAGGTGCGAACTCGATTTTTTCAATGTGGGGGAAAAAATTATGACTTTCTTGTATTTTAACGTTTATTATTAATTTATTATATTATTAATTTGTTAAAATTGAATTATTTTAAAATGCATCTTTGCAGTTGTGATTTAGCTTGAATCGAGGTGTGAACTCGTAGTTTAAAGTTAGGCAATCCATCACTGAGTACCGGCACCTATTTTTTTTTTACAAAAAAAGCACTGGTTGTATTAATAGATTTCCGCCATTAAAGGACAAAACTTTGTGTAAGCGCACCTCGCTTGAGGAATACAATCAAACTTCCTACTCTCGATTCATGCAGCAATTGCAGAAGAAATGGCCCATCCTCAATGATAGTCTAGACACTACGTCCCAGATATGCGTAGTAATGACGTCACGAAAGCGTATCACGACTTATAGCGCAAAAAAAAAAAAAAAAAAAAACTTTTCGACGAAGCTAAAAGTAACACACAAGAATCACCGCGCAAATAATACTCAACGTTCGGTGCGCAACAATTACATAAGTCAATGCTCAAAGTAGGGATGTCATAATCTCTTGTTGTGTTAAGCAGTTATTTTATTAGGACAGGTAAATTCCTCTGAATAGCGCAGTGCAGCCAATGATTGTGCTCATGTTCACTGACTAGTCACCACAGTTGTTGTTTTGTGTGTGTGTGTGCTTTGAAGGAAAAAATACAACATTGATACCAATTAAGAATCAGTAAGTATAAACAGTCTTTCTCTCCCCAGCCCAATGATATCCAGTAACCAGAGGCGTATCTTGATTTAACGCTGCCCTTGTAGAACTCTCAAAATTAACGCCAACCCCCCTCACACATGTCTATTATATTATGTTGTTAGAAAATTAACTAAAGTGTCGCCTTCGCCGAAACCCCCATGTGTTACCCAATCTTCTCTAAATGGATCCGCTTTCAACCCATTTCAAATTGTGGTATGCCTAAATTTTCAGGGTATTTAATACTCCGCACGTCCGGGTGTCCAGGTAAGCACCCAGGTCAGCCTGACACCTAAAAGGCTCGAAGCCAATGATATTTCAGTGACAAAAAAGAAAATATGTTGGAACTGTGGATTTCTAGGATCTTGCGGGGGGGGGGGGAATGTGGAGGTTCGAGGGTGGGGGGGTATGACTGCTAACAATTGAGGGGGCAGTGTATTATAAACGTGTTTTGTATCATTTTGTCTCTTTTATAAACGACCTTTAGAATTAAAAGCTAAGACACGGCGGATATGCAACAAGCGAAAACATTGTCCAAGGCATTGGGGAAAAAATGCTGCGTTACAATATACAGTTCTTTTTAAAAGAAGTTCCCCTTCTCTTAAATGTTATTTTTTTTAAATATTTGACAAACTACAAATGGCGATGTATAAGTTGGCTCTAATCTTATCGGGGGAGAAACCGCCGAGCCAGTAAGTGTGTGTCTATGGTAGAGACAGATCGAATTTCGGCTTTGGCTTCGTTTTCGGCGCCGAAAGTGGCTATTTTATCACTTTAAGCAAAGTTTCAGTTTTGGTCGAAACTGAAAAGTTAACTTTCGGCTTAATTTCGGTTTCGGCCGAAAGAGAAAAGTTAACTTTCGGCTTAATTTCGGTTTCGGCCGAAAGAGAAAAGTTAACTTTCGTTTTTTTCGGTTTCGGCCGAAATTGACCTAGGCTTTCGGCCATCCGGCCGAAAGTGACTGAGGTTTTCGGTCATCTAATACTCAGTGAAAGCGATATTTAACAACAAACAAAGCCATATTTAAGAACAAACTAAACGATCTTTAAGAACAAACTAAGTGATCTTTAAGAACAAACTAAAGGATCTTTAAAAACAAACTAAACGATCTTAAAAAACAAAATAAACGATTTTTAAGAACGAAATAAATGATCTTTATGAAAAAAAAAGGGCTCTTCAATAGTAAACTAAATGATTTATAAGAATAAACTAAGCGATCTTTAACAGAAAACTAAATGTTCTAAGGAACAAACAAATTGATCTTAAGAAAGAAAATCAATTATCTTTAAGAAATAATTAAGCGATCTTTATGAAAAAACTAAGCGATCTTCAACAACAAAATAAGCGATCTTTAAGAACAAATTTTAAATATTTTAACTACAAACTAAAAGATCTATAAAAACAAACTAAATTATCTTTAAGAACAAAGTGAATGATCTTTAAGAACAACTAAGCGATATTTAAGAACAAAATCAATGATCTTTAATAACAAACTAAGCGATCTTTTAATTACACAAACTAGGGATCTTTAAGAAAAAACCTAGCGATATTTTTTAAACAAACTAAATGATGTATAAGAAAAAACTAAAAGATCTCTAACAACAAACTAAGCGATCTTTAATAACAAACTAACCGATCTTTAAGAAAAAATAAACCGATCATTATCAAATAACTGAACGACCTTTAACAACAAAGAATTATGGTTGTGCTTTACCCGCCAACTTACTTTTAAAAACTTTTCTCAAAGCCGCACTCTTTGCCATGTTTGTCTCATTAAAATCTATAAATTAAAAACTTTTATATCGAGTTTAAAACTGTTCTTACCATTATAATCATCATACAAACATATATAGATACATATAAAAAAATCAGAATTAGGCTAATCGGTGAGATTCGACTGAAACCGTCGCGGAGACTCACGTTATAGATCAGTGGTTTTTAACTTTTTGGAGGTACCAAACCCCACCAGTTTCATATGCGCATTCACCGAACCCTTCTTTATAGAAAAAATAAAATATCATTTTTTTCTCTGACTTTTTTGGACCTCCGCCGAACCCCTGAGACTGACTCACCGATCCCCTGGGGTTCGATCGAACCCAGGTTAAGAACCACTGTTATAGATATTAGAATGGGGAAAACGCGCGGTGCATTAACACTAAACTTTTCTCTCATGTAGCGGGCAACAAAATATCGTCTTGCGGGCACAAATGGATCGCGGGCCGCGAGTTTGAGACCCCTATATTAGATGTTTATTATTTAATATTCACGATTATCTCATGATTTATAAAAAGAATGTAAATATTTATACTTTCCCCCATCATTTTCAATGTATGCAGAATGTATGCGGGAACGAATTTCAAAATATCTAAATATTTCATATTCGGTTCCGGCTTCGGCTTCGGTTTTGGCCGAAAGTCATTTTAAACTTTCGGCCTATTTTCGGCTTCGGCCCAAATCAGAAAATCACTTTCGGTCGGTCTCTAGTCTATGGTAACTCAGACGTGAAAGGAACACCGCGCTGCTACTAAGAACTGCTTCGAAAGGGACCCGAACAGCCGGCTGTGGACACTAGCCGTAGAAACGGTTGCACACCAGTCGCCGTCTTGTGTCCCAAAATGATGTCCCCTTTTCATAAAATGTTTTATTCCACAGTCCATTCAGACGGCACTGGTTGCCAATGTCTTAGCCATGGCCATAAACTCCGAGAGCTCGCCACCCACCCCATCCCACACACACACACACATTCGAATATGAATTAGTATTAGTGTTTGTTTATAAATGTATTCATTATCTATGTATGTTTATATTGGGTAATGGGTACATTTTTCGACTAGGTGTTCAATTACTGCACTTTGATTCAAAATAATGAAGGGTGTGACCAGTTGAAAATAACGTGGTTCGGTTGTTACCATCATTCATGACTTATTACCACGTTTATATCGATGAGATATCCAATAATCACCACAGTTGTAGTCATCGACTAATCTATGAGATTTTCAAAAATTTACTACAGTCGCAGTCACCCACTAACCAACGAGATGTCCAATAATGAATAGAGTTGCAGTCACCCACTAATCAACGAGATATCCAATAATGACCATAGTTGTAGTCATCCACTAATCAAGGAGATATCCAATAATGACCACAGTCGTAGTCATCCACTAATCAACGAGATATCCAATAATGACCACAGTTGTAGTCATCCACTAATCAAGGAGATATCAAATAGTGACCACAGTTGTAGTCATCCACTAATCCACGAGATATCCAATAATGACAACTGTTGCAGGCATCCACTAATCCACGAGATATCCAATAATGACAACTGTTGCAGACATCCACTAATCCACGAGATATCCAATAATGACAACTGTTGCAGACATCCACTAATCCACGAGATATCCAATAATGACAACTGTTGCAGGCATACATTGAAACAATGTTTCTCACAAACGGTTACCTTGGAAGTTAGTCACAAAGTTGTTTTATTAACTGGTGTTATTAATAAAAGAACTAGTCCCCCCCCCCCCCCCTTGGGGACTTTCACCCCCCACACGTGTGTAAGTAACCCCCCTGACGCCCCGGCCGTTTAAAATTTGGATGACATCATTACTTTTTTTAAAATTATTATGAAACAATGTTTCTCAAAAACGGTTACCTTGGAAGTTAGTCACAAAGTTGTTTTATTAACTGGTGTTATTAATAAAAGAACTAGTCCCCCCCCCCCCGCTTGGGGACATTCACCCCTCACACGTGTGTAAGTAACGCCCCTGACGTCCCGGATGTTTAAAATTTGGATGACATCATTACTTTTTTTAAAATTATTGTATTGTGTGACACCTACAGGCAAAGGTGATAAGATGATTAAATATGTCTTTCACAATACAACTTTAAGGCCACTTGAACAACCTAGGTAGCAGAAGCGCCCACGTGACGCCTCTGCGTGAATATCAGATTTCGGCACATTTTTGATAAGCCAGATTTTTTTTTAAATCAAATTATATCCTTGACACACATACGCTGAAGGAGTTGCTATAAAAGTAGCTCAGTGCACATCATTTGCTCTGTGCGATTCTTGCTTTCCGTAACACGTCAAAAGCCTTGAAAAAAATTTCCTAGCTAACTTCTACTTATCCCAGCCAAACTCATTCGACATGGCAGTAAGTTTTTTTTCTTCTTTTTTTTTCTTAATATAAAAAAAATCAATATTTTTTTTTTTTGTACTTATGATACTTGCTTGTTGGTTTTCAAAATGTCACAGGACATACACGTGCGATCACGTCTTAATATAACGCGAAGACATTTTCTTGAAGAGCTAACCTGTTTCGTTGAATGTTCAACAAGTACTTTCTTTTTTTTTTTTCATTAACAAATGTTACTTTTTATGTCACTGACCTTGCAGAAGTAAAATACTTATTTAATATGCACTCCCTCGTAACTGTGATCTCAGCATTCAATCCCCAAACCCCACCCCCCCCCCTTTTTTTTTTTTCCAAAATGGTCTTAGTTGTTTTTTCCCCATCTTCTACCGCGTTCTTTTCTTATTTGATACAATCGTAACACATGTCACAATATTGGCTGCATATATAAATGTTCGGTTTCAACTTTTAAATGCGGCAGCCACCCCCCCTCCCCGCATCCATTTCCCTTTTTTATCTCATTTATAAACAACAAATTGTTTACAAAAGCATGTAAGATTATAAGATAGACTGTAAACGGTTTTTTTTTTAAAGACCAACTTTCAAAGTGATTTCTTAACTTTTCAAATTTATTGTTGGAGTTTTATTTAATTTTTTTCTAATGCTACATGTTCCCTATGTGCTTGGATGATTCTGGAGCATTGGATCACTAAACTTTATACAGGTGAATTAGTGGAGGCGTCCAATTTTCAGAGCGTCGATTATCCGAAAAGCCGATTGTCCGGATTGCAACATGTCATTTTGAAAAAAATCATAAGCGTACGCAACACGCATGACACGGCGCATGACATGGCACACTGGTGCGTAACACGATGCTCTGGTGCATAACACGATGCTCTGGTGCATAACATGGCGAAATGGCGAATAACATGGCTCACTAGCGCATAACATGGCGCACTGGTGCATGACATGGTGCACTCGCGAATGACTCCACGCACTGGTGCATGACACGGTGCACAGACATATGACACGGTGCACTGGCGCATGACACGGCGCACTGAAGCATAACATGGTGCACTGGCGCACGACTCCTGCACTGGTGCATGGCACGGTGCATGACTGTATTTTGTATAAGCTACTCATCTAATTTTTCAAACGACCTTGTTTTGTTTTGTTTTTTGCCTGAAATATTTGTAGTCCTCACCATTGCTTGACAAATACCAATAACCACTTCTAAATGTGATGTGTACTTATTTTCATGATTCCGAAACAATTTATACATTGTTCCATACAATTTTACCATAATCAGTCCAGGAGATCCTAAATTTACTACATCTGAAAGACTAACATTCAACAGTGCATAACAGCTTATTTTCATAGGTCCATAACATTTTACATTGATCAGTCTATAAAATCCTACGTTTCTTAATTCAGAACAACTTAATTCCATGAGTCCATAACATCTTACATTCATCAGTCTATGAAATCCTAACATCATAAATGTATCAATCAACAACAACTTAAATTTTCAACATTCATCCGCCCATAACAAATTACGTTCATCCCTCCATTGTTGAGAGTCCTTCGCATGCGAAGGTGACCAAGGCTGTATTATAAGATTTGTACGCTGGTGGTTTGCCAGTCCTATTTGTGCCTGGCACGCTTTCCCGCTCGTAGGACACACGTTGTTTTTGAGTCATTGTTGGATTTGAGTCGATTCTGTTGTTTTTTCCTCCATGCCAAGCGCTTTCTTTGTTTGTGGGCAGTGCGTATATTGTCTGACGAGTGTGCTCCAACAGTCAAGTGAATCTTCCCTCTTAATTTTTACGATCTATAGCTAGTATTTCCCACGAATAAAGTTCACTGTCCGTGGATTTTGGTGAATTTTTCAGAGCGCCCTTCAAGCGATTTTTCTACACACCAGATGAGCGCCCCCCCCCCCAGGAGACTTCCTAAACAACGAAGCAACATCATTCCCCACTATCATTCTACAACATCATTCCACGACATCATTTCCCAAAATCATTCCCAAACATTATTCCACAACATCATTCCACAACATCATTCCACAACATCATTCACCAACATCATTCCCCAACATCATTTCACAACATCATTCCCCAAAATCTTTTCCCGACATCATTCCCCGACATCATTCCACAACATCATTCCCCAACATCGTTCCACAACAACTTACATTCATCCGTTCAAAACAACTTGCACTCATCCGTCCACAACAACTTACTTTCATCAGTCCTTAACAGCATACATTTAAAATTCCATTACATCTTCTGTTTATCCGCCTATAGCAAATTACCTTCATCAGTCCCCAACGGCATACATTTCCCACTTCATAACATCCTACATTATTCAGTTTATAACATTCTTCATTCTTCAGTCGATAACATCCAACGTTCTTCAGTCCATAATATCCCACAACATTCTTCATTCCATAATAAGTCTTTGAATGTTAATCTTAATCTTAATCTTAACATGTTTTTTTTTCAAATGTTTTTTTTTTGAGGGGGTAGTGAGGGTTAAGGGAGGATGGGAGGTTGGTGGGGTGGGGTCGAAGAAGGTTGCGAGTTGTGATGCGTCATCAATGTTTTATACTCGATCTCTACTTGAGCTACAGTACTCGGTAGGCCTACTACTTTGAAAAGTCCGGGAAATTTCGAAAACTGTTTTCTCTGAACCTTGTCGTTTCAGTGCAACCAGGCTGTCTATACCATTCCACAAGGACCACTGCCGGGGAAAAAGATAACCATCCGTGGAACACCAAAGTGTGACGCCAGCAGGTAATCCAGTGGAAAACTTAAATTTTGTTCACAATCTAGCGCTCTACAGATTGGATGAAATTGAAGATTTAGAAAGGGCTCTATCCGCGAAGAGACGAGAGGCAACTAATTCAGTGCTCAATGAACGCTACTTGATGATGCCGCAACACATTTGACGCGTGACAAAATCAATCTTCCTTCACAATGTGCAGGGACTCTCAAACCGAAATTTCTGTGTGCTGATTGTTGAGTTTTTTTTTTTTTCTTTTTTTTTTTTTAATTTATTTAAATATATTTTAAAAAAACAGTGACATAATAGTGCCACGTCATTATTTTCTATAACAATAATTTTAAAACAAGTTGATTCATTGCGTAATATATAAAAATAGTAACACACATCCAGTGGCGTAGACAGGGTACGTGCCGTCACGGGCGTTTCAAGATTTTTCGCCACCCTCTTCCATGACAAAACCCTGCGGCTATTCGAAAATGTCACTTACCCATTAAAAGAACAAAGGTGCCGCCCGGGTCTCAAGCCCCGCTCCTTTGCACCCCACATTCCTACGCCACGGTGTCGGCCACACCATCATTAGTATCTGGCACTCCCGTTTTAAAAAGGTGGTGTGTTGAGTAATTCAAACTCAATGCATTACGCCCCTCGCAATACGCTTGACTTCACCCACACACCACTCCCAACACAAATTAAGAAAAATGAATCCTGCAACGCCTCTGAAAAATAGAAAAAACAGTGTAATATAACTTTGATAAACAATATGAAAAGTAACTTTGATAAACAAATGAAAAGTAGCTTTGATAAACAATATGAAAAGTATCATTGATAATCAATAAGAAAATGGTATCATTAATTGCTCGTTGAAATAACTCTTCATTGAAAATAAAAGAAAGTTTAACATTCTCAAATTCAATCACCCCCCCCCCCCAACCTTTTTCTTTCAGTTTCAGCATCAATGTCGCCCTGGGACCAAACTTCGACAGTGATGACGTGGCCTTTCACTTCGCTGTCAGATTTATGATAATAAATAAAAAAATGGTATCATTAATTGCTCGTTGAAATAACCCTTCATTGAAAATAAAAAAAAGTTTAACATTCTCAAATTCAATCCCCCCCCCCCCCAACCTTTTTCTTTCAGTTTCAGCATCAATGTCGCCCTGGGACCAAACTTCGACAGTGATGACGTGGCCTTTCACTTCGCTGTCAGATTTGATACCAATTCCGTCGTCTGCAACGATAAGACAGTGTGCGGGTGGGGCAAGGAGGAGGTACATGACTGTAACTTCCCCTTTTGTAAAAAAGCGCCTTTCACAGTTGAGCTCCTGATTGACCAGTGTGGATACAAGGTAACTTACTTTATCAATTTTGTTTATTTTTTATTTTTTTGTTTTGCTTCACATTTTGAAGCCATAGATTCTTATCTTACCTGTAGTATGACTCTCGACGGAAGTATTATGAAGACAAAAGTTGTATTATTTTGTTGTGAAATTGAACATGTTAAAATTCGAGGCCGACCTCATGAAGCTTCGACTTCGACCCTTATAAACTTATATTTAAAAAAAAAAAAAGTACTTATAGAAATAGTAAGTATAAGTACATATAGAGATTGTACACATAATTACGTATAGTGATTGTACATATACGTACATATAGAGATTGTACACAAAAGTACTTCCAATTATTTATTTTTTTAACACAAGTCATTTTTTTTATGAAAAGAAAAAAAAAATAATAAGAGGTAGGATGATTTTTCAAAAGAATATCTCTACTGTATCTGTCGATGTCGATATGTCATCAGATTTATTGTTAAATCCGGATTCAGTTGTTGTTGGTTGTTGTTTTTTTTTTTTTTTTTTTTTTTTTTTAGTTAAAAAATAAGAGGTAGGATGATTTTTCAAAAGAATATCTCTACTGTATCTGTCGATGTCGATATGTCATCAGATTTATTGTTAAATCCGGATTCAGTTGTTGTTGGTTGTTGTTTTTTTTTTTTTTTGTTTTTTTTTTTAGTTAAAATAATCATAATTAAGCCAAATAAATACTTCGAACCAATGAATTAATTTTAAGTTTGAAGTAGTAAACTGAATCGTATGTGCATCTTCAATTGCTTTTCTAAAGATGACTGTCATCATAATATAGTTAGGCATGGGCAACGGCTTACCCTGGGGTGGGTAGAGGGTGGCGCCCTTTCCTATGCCATAAAAAATACGCCGTCAAGGAAGCCTTGGTTTTTCTCTGTTGCAACCCTCGAAGTTCTGCTGGTATACCATCTGAGACGTACACTTTGAGCACTGCTGCTCGTATACCATCTGAGCCATCCACTTTTTAGCAGTTCTGCTGGTATACTATCTAAGCCATCCACTTAGATAAGATCTGCTGGTATACCATCTGTGACATCAACTTAGATAAGTTCTGCTGGTATACCATCTTAGCCACCAACTTTGAGCAGTTCTGCTGGTATACCATCTGAACCATCAACTTAGATAAGGTCTGCTGGTATACTATCTGAGCAATCAACATAGACAAGTTCTGCTGGTATACCATCTGAGCCATGAACCTTGCCATTTTCAGAAGTGGCATCACAGATTTTACTTAATTATGTATTTTCGTTGGACTTTTGTATATTTTTGGTCGATTCCATAGTTGCATAATATGTCTACTATTTCCTGTATACTTCATATCTATACAACAAGTTAAGAGCGTTTGTCTCTGTCTTGTAGACTAATTTTCTATACAACAAGATAAGAGTCTTTGTCTTGTAGACTACCTATCTATACATTAAGCTAAGATTTTAGCTGTTGTAGGCTTTTTTGGTCGAAACGCTCACCTTCTACTTCTTCGGGTTTTTCTCTACCCGTTGAATATATATTTTATTGCTTCCACCTAAACGCAGTCCTCCCTGTATTTTTACTGTAAAATTTATGGGAAGGTCTGAGATTGCTCAGAGAATTTCTGGTCTCACTTTTGGGTGGTGCCTATTGGTGTTTTTGTTTTGTTTAGGTATATGACTCATCTCTTCAGTTGTTTTTTTTTTTCTGCATCTATCATCTTTTCAACCATATATCGGTAACTAGCGCTAGTGCTGTTGGTGTTTTAAAAGCGCCCTCTAGTCTTTTGAAATCAGTATAGTTCTTTCACGTTTCCTTTGAGTTATGCTTCTTTCATATTATTGATATTCTTCAGATTATTGAAATAAGTTCTTTAGTATGTTTAAAACTTTTTTTATTTAAAAAAAAACAACACTTTTTCCGATATTATATATTCTGTGTATGCTGCCGAATTCTCTATTCTCGATCTACTTTGTATGCACTTTAAATCTTTTGGCTCTCATATCTTCTGGGTGTATTTTTAACTTATCCGCGTGATATCCCTACTGCGTCGGTAGTTTTATACTCCCCAAACCCCGCAAACCAAACAACAACAAAAAAAAACAAAAACAAAGTTAATTTCAGGGCATGTTTAACTCCCTATTCCCATGGGCTTCACTGTCCGTTTCTCCTTGCAGTTCCAGAGCTCTTCATCTTTAAATTAAAGGAAGAATTTATTCTATTTCTCCTATTGCTTTTAGAGAATCTTAACAATGCACTTCCCTCGCTGGTTTTTTTTTTAGATTTGTTCCTGATTCCTTAGTTTCATTTTTTTTTCCGTTTCATCGCGGAGGACTGCTTTTTAGGTGAAGGATATACATGTATTGCTAACATACCCGAAACATAAATGATGCTGCTTGCCTTCATTTTCAAAAAAAATTAAATTAAATTAAAACGAAATGAATTCCACTCTTTCAGGCTTCAGTCAATGGCAATTTTTTCGTCAGTTTCAACCATCGCTTGAAGACAGGAGAGTGCAACAACTTTCTGATCATCAAACAAGATGTTGACGTGACCGACGTCAAGTTCGGTTAACTGGTTTAACCAACCATCTGCCATTGTGGCGGGGGAAACAAGGAGTGTATGCCTCTAGTATAAAAAAAAAATTATTTACATGCGTTACCATCTATTTCAGTTCATATCGTTTACATTTTATTTGAAAAATAATAAAAGTTCGTCTTGTGTTTAAGTGCTAAAAATTTATTGTCAATTCCCTCAGGTCTGTTTCCCGACATTTGAAATATCAATAAAGAAAATTATATTAAAAAAATATTTTTTTTTCTTGTTTGTGTAAAGCGTTCAAACCTATTAAAGAAAGTAAAATAAACTGTGTATGTAATTATATTATCTTCAAGTATGTCTATATTTATGACACATATATTTATAGATATATGGCAACCTTCCGTCTTCACCAGAGATGGAATAGCTATTGACACTTCATTAAATGGCTTACGATATAGGCCGATCATGCAATGACGGACGAGGCGGAATTTCTCGCTGGAAACCTTGACGGGTGGGGGGGGGACTGGGAGGAGTACTGAAATAAGGAGGGTGATGCCATACGTTTACTGCACCGGGTGGCACCAACACTACAGTGACACCTCTAGGAAGGAGCGCTTGCTTGTATAGACGTGGGCCAATTTTACTGAAGCGTCAGCGATAGAGCTTGATGACTCTAATGCGGACGGACCACTGCCCGGTACTGCCCCCACTTTAACAGGCCAGACCACAACAGGGACTAGAAAATTTAAAGACGTACTTTCCACTCACAAATCCGTCAGGTTTTTTTCTTCTTCCATTTCGATCGCAATTTGTATAGCATCCACATGATCCCCACGTGATCCTCTCGTCACGTGTTAGGAAGGCAAGTTTAAAAATGGTGAAACTCAAATGTAGGAAGCTATTTAAACTTGGCACATCATGTCTTCATGAATGGGTGGTAGGCGTGTGCGTGTAGCTCTAGCCGGGAGTTTGGCGAATGTGTGTAGCTCTGGTCTTGAGTTAGGCCAAAGTGTGTAGCTCTAGCCTTGAAATAGGCCAATGTGTGTAGCTCTAGCCTTGAAATAGGCCAATGTTTGTTGCTCTAGCCTTGAGTTAGCCCAATGTGTGTAGCTCTAGCCTTGAGTTGGGCCAATGTGTGTTGCTCTAGCCTTGAAATAGGCCAATATGTGTTGCTCTAGCCTTGAGTTAGGCCAATGTGTGTTGCTCTAGCCTTGAGTTAGGTCAATGTGTGCTGCTCTAGCCTTGAGTTAGGTCAATGTGTGTAGCTCTAGCCTTGAGTTAGGCCAATGTGTGTAGCTCTAGCCTTGAGTTAGGTCAATGTGTGTAGCTCTAGCCTTGAGTTAGGCCAATGTGTGTAGCTCTAGCCTTGAGTTAGGCCAATGTGTGTAGCTCTAGCCTTGAGTTAGGTCAATGTGTGTAGCTCTAGCCTTGAGTTAGGCCAATGTGTGTAGCTCTAGCCTTGAGTTAGGCCAATGTGTGTAGCTCTAGCCTTGAGTTAGGCCAATGTGTGTAGCTCTAGCCTTGAGTTAGGCCAATGTGTGTAGCTCTAGCCTTGAGTTAGGCCAATGTGTGTAGCTCTAGCCTTGAGTTAGGCCAATGTGTGTAGCTCTAGCCTTGAGTTAGGCCAATGTGTGTAGCTCTAGCCGGTTGGGTGACTAAGGCACGTCAACACAAAAATTACAAATTTGTACCAATTGGAACAGAGTAAATATATCTAACAATAAAAAAACATTGCTGAGGTACAGAAGAGAGTTAAGTTATTGAGTCGCCGACTGTTTCAAAGCATTCTTTGTTTTTTAAAAAGTAAATTATTATTCTTTTGTCAATGATTTACAGATTAAAATGTTAAAATATTTTTAATAGTTTTTATATTATTACAATTTTTTCAACATTGTATTTCAAAAACGAGTTTAGTCGCATTTAAACGTAGAACATTTCTTCTTCTTCTATATATTAAAGGCCCACGATCAATTTATTGATCATAAAATTGATCCTATGTATGTAGAGTAATTTGCAATGCGATAAATGTGATTCTCTTACCGCGATGATGCGGAGTCTCTGAAGGCGATTCTCAGTCATCGTTCCTTCGTTGCTGTCTGCCCACTGCCCTAAAAAACATTTCCCTAAGCTGGCCCTTCTGCCAATTTTTGAAACCGAAATTTTTGTTCTGACCTAGGGGAGCGTCGGGAGAAATGGACATGTGGGAGAAATGGACCACCCCCTATAAAATCGAATCTATTGGACCAAAATGTTTTGGAACTAAATGAATGCATAAATTACCCATTTTTGTGTTTTCAAAGAGTTTCCAGATTATATGGTCAGCTATGAAACAAATGAATCACGAGTAAAATTTTGGCATTAACAAAAAATGTTGTTTTGAACAAACTTCATCAGAGCGTCTAGAAATTTAACTGGTTCATCAAGAATAAAGGTAAATATAGTTTAATGCATCATATTTAGTTAGTTATAGTATTTCATATTAAATTTGATTATTTGCATCACGAACTTACATATTTTTTAAAAAAATTCTGCATTACTTCATCGTGGGGTGAAACGTGCCCCCCAAAAAATGGGGAGAAATGGAAATATGTCCATTTCTCCCCACTGTTTATTTTCTTTATACTTCATTACTGCATAATCCTGAAGTAATTACAACGTAGTAATATATTGAGCATGACTATAGTTAATTAACTTTAAATAAAGATTTTGAATTATCAGTCATGATTTATTGTAGCAAAACGTAGGTCCTAATTTTAGAAAATGTTTTGCTTAATATATATGTATGTATGATTATGTTCTGTAGAAATTTAATCTTCTTAATTTTGTAAAGCTTTTTCTTTAAGAAATACATTTAAATTTCCCATGGGATTAGAATTTAAAGTTTCCCATTTTTTTTTCTTGCAGAAACTACACAAGAAAAACAGATAATGGTCGAAAACCCTTGGAAGATATGAGAAAAGCAGTTGATGCCATTAAAAGGGGGGGGGGGGAGTCGATGCGTGCAGCTGCTACACAATTTGGACAAGTGACGATAGTGACCCTGACATGGACATTGACCTAATAAGCGATGATGATTTAGATGACTTTATGTCATACTGTGAAGACTTTCATTGTGTTGAAATGAGTGGTCTTGAGGAAGTTATGAAAGATGGTTGTGTGCTGTGTGAGTATAGTGTATAAAAAAAAAGAAAGGCCTGTGTTGTTTAATGTGGCTGTTGTGAGGAAGGAAGTGGATGAAGATGGGGGATGTGGAAGTAGAATGTTTAAGCAAAAGTTGAGAAAGTGACTGGCAGAATTCATGAGACCACACGTAGAAGTCATTGCCTGTGTGTGCCTATATTAAAGACATAAAAATGCAAACGTACAAAAATTACAAAAGACTGGGACAATTAGGACTACAGATGTTTTTTTCTTTAAAGAAAACCTGAGTTCTTTCAATGTTAAATAAATCTGTGTTTATGTTTGGCTCGAATGACATTTTGTCTACATCCTTATGTCCAATAAAATTAAATATACATAAAATGTAAAAGGTTTCGCTTATCTTTTTAATTACATTACATATTTTATGGTGCATTACAACTCAACAGAGAGAAAATTAATAGAAAATAGGTTAAAATATTAATTTGTTTAAACCACTTTTTAGTTAGCTGACCATTTCCCCCAACATGGTGGTCCATTTCTTCCTTCGCTATGCCCATTTCTCACAACCTACTTAGTCCTCAGTTTCTTTTGAATTTCACAAAAACTGTCAAATTTATCAAAATGCAAATTAATTTTTTAAGGGCACATTTGGACTGGCTATTAATAAGCCAAATTGTGGGGTTATAACTTTTTATTTGTTTACACCAGCTGCATTCTTTGACTGATGTTCATTTGGTGGCCCATTTCTCCCGACGCTCCCCTACTTATATTTACAACCAGATCTAGACTAAGTTTCACAGTTGTATAGAGCATGGTTAAAAAAAAAAACAAAACAAAAAAAACAACCTAAATTACATGTATTGATGGAAGTAATTGTCTTTCAAGTGCAACACCTATGGTATGGGGTTTGGCATTTCTAAGACCGGAAAAAGTCACATCGCATTACGAAATGTTACTATTTTTAGACAATGCTTTCGTGAAACATAGCTTCCAACAATGTATTTCCTCATTTCTAAAGCAGTAACAATTTTTTTGTAAACTCTTTCTTAAAATAAAGCTATAAACGCGTTTTCCTCTAGGTTAATGTTCACATTACCGTAGAAGTACCGAGCAGCTGATGAGAGATTGGCCAAACGGAATACCAGGATAATTTATTATAATAGATTTTCGCCATTCATTGACAATCTCCATACAAGAAAAAACACAAATCGCTCACTTTTTAAACAACAAATTTTTGTTCTCACTTCATATTTTATTTTCAGTGCTGTTTGGTTTCAGAATGTCAGTGACTTAGTTGTTTACCTACTTAGTGTGGATTATTTCTGTGGATTATTTCTGTGGATAATTCCAGCATTTCTTAATTTTTGCCAACGACTTTCTATAAACAGGCGTGATTAATATGAATATTTATCGCAACAGAGTCATTAAAAGTATATTTCCCTCTGGTCCTTAATTAATTAGGCTTACAATTCAATGATATTACTCTGTAAATTATTAATTTAATTGTTAATTAATTAGGCTTACAATTCAATGATATTACTCTGTAAATTATTAATTTAATTGCCTTTGTCATATCACCTTAAGCATTAAAGGTTTTGTGAATACATTTTCCGTGCCGTCTAAATATTTAGTTCAAATTCTTTAGGTCGTAATAACTGAGAAACTGATTACTTTTTATAACCGTGGCTAAAATAAATCTAATTTTTTTTTTTACAAATCTTTATGCCTAGCTATAAACCATTTATTTGATGAGATATAATTATCTTTGGTTGTTTTAATCAAATTTATAAATACTTTAACCCTAGTCGGCTCATGGCGAGATTTTTTTTTGGAGTTATCGAACACTGAGCACCGTGATCTGGTTTCTTGAGAGAGGGTTAAAGAGCCCCGACGACTCGGACACTGTCGTCCTGTTCAAGGCGGACCGTGGGCCCATCGTGGGCGTGGGAGCTGTCCGCCGGACGGCGCAGGAAGAAGAACAGCACAGCGATGGAGAAGCAGGCAGAGGCCAACATGTGAAGGACGAGAAGGAACGTGCGCACTACGTTCTCCTGAGAAGGACAAATAAAGAATAACTTAAGAAACTTAAAAATGAATTACCCACCGCCCGCCCCCCCCCA